TATTTGAAAAAAAAATGATGCATTGGTCTAATGTTTTTCATCTAGGTCAATGACAGAATGGAGGTTTTTGTCGAGTTCTTTAAAAGTTCAAGGGAGTTTTTTTGTTACAGTGAAACTATAGGGAAGGTTTTTATGATTGTCAAAAACTTCTAGGATTTTTGTATTTTACCTAAAATAGAACCCAATGGTAATTCTTTTTCTTCTCTCCCACTTCTTCATCACTTAACTAATTTGTAGAGCTAACTAAACAAATATTTCGATTGCAATTCAATCCCATCAAGCATTCACTACAATAAGTAAAAGCATATAGATGAAGAAATTAACTTTTTCAGTATAATTGTGAATGCATTTTAATTTGTGAGCATCTAAACATATAAGATGGGAATTAAATTTTACCAAATAAGTAACTATAAAGCAATGAGATTTTTCTAATTAGGTTTCAAGTGTTTGATTTTCTCAAGCTAATAGGGAGCAAACTTCTACTTTTTAGGTCTATGATGTGAATGCCTTCTTTTCTCATTTATCTTTGTATCATTTTGGTAGGGCCCATTATTGCTAAAATTTGTTGCTCATATGTCATTTGTTACTTGTCTCTGTTTCTAGTGCTCAATTTGTTGGTTCATTTTGTTTTAATGTAGTTTTAATAAAATATAAGAAAAATAGTTATTTTGTAGACTAATTCTAATAGTAGAATCATAAGCAAATTTCACCCTATTTCAATAATATTGACTAGATAAGATTTTCTAAAAATACTTATATATAAAAAGGGGAACATTATGCTCACCAACATGGTCTTATTGTCTATTTTCAGATGTTGGTTGGTTTTTGTGATCCAGATTTGTATTGAAATACCAGTGAGGTGCATTCATGATATTTCCCTACAAGAAATAAGAAAATATTGAAGACTATAGCAAGCTAATAATGGGTTTGTGAGTAACAAAATATGCAAACTTCACTTGGCTCATTTGGTTACCAACTATGCTTGAATCTAATGAAGCCTCTAGCAACTCTAACATGCTTATGGGTTGTGAGTAGTAAACTATTAAGTTCTAGACTATTTGCCAATTCAATGGTACCAATTTTCATTGCATATGATTGACATGCAAATTGATTAAGATCAAGAGTATTTGCCATGATTGAACCAATACCATATGACTCTTATTAAACAAAAATATAAAAAAAATAAACAAACATGTCAAGAACTAAAGATGTAATAGTAAAAATAACTAAAGATAAGCTGAAGGTTGAACTTCCATTGTCAAACTAGCTGAAATTTGTAGCTAGGGTTGGGAATTCTTTTTACTCTTCTTTCTTTTTTCAAATGGTTGCTTTATTCTACCACCACCACAACTAATCTTGACACTCTTGGATTTCTTTGCAAATCTTGACACCTTGTTTCTGACATCATAAAATGATATTACATTTGTTTATTTCCTCTTTGCCTCCTCATTTTGTAAATTCTCAACCAATTGACAAGATCTTAATTGACTACCATGTTGTGTATACACATCCAACTCATCTCCAGTATTTATAGAATGAATAGTTTGTGTACCATTTGAAACATCCACTTTCATTATTTTCTCGACTCCAATACGAATATTTTGAAACTCATTCAATGCATACTAGTAAGGTTTTTCATTTTTTAAAGCCCAATTTGATATGTATCATGAAATTCTCACTAGTTCAGTTGTCTTCATAGTATATCTACAATTTGGGTCAATCTTAATTGCATTACCATGATAGTTTATTGCAACTCCATCTTTTGCATTTCTTGTCCATTGTTTCAAAATGTACTATGATGGAAGATGTATGAACTTATTTTTAGAAAACACTTTCAACCCATGAGTACAAAGCAACCAACAAACTTAAAATTTCTGCAGTGATTTTTGCAATTACATAAGATTGACATATTCAATGGTGAAAATATTACAACATACTCCTACTTTTTGCCATGCATGCTTACAGTGATTTTAATCTCTTCATTAACTTCAATTTTATTGTCTATAAAACAAATCATAGAATTGTAATACTCCTCAAATTCTCTGAAAATTGTGGGAGTATAAACCTCTACAATTAATTGAAGAAACGACACTTATATGCTCAAATGGGGCTTGCTTTAGATCATCTTGAAATCAATCTCTAGTGTTTTTTTTTTGTGCCTATCTTTCACAACTCTTTTAAAATGGTCCAAAAATCGAGATGTGATCAATGATGACTTCAAATAACCCTTAATAAATTATTCATGATTTCACTCATTTAAGTGTTTTTTATATTTGTAGAAAGGTGGTCCTCCCATAAATTAATGTCCAGTTCTCTTTCACTTTAAATAACCCTTTCAACTATTTATTCTCTTTCAAATTATAATTACAAAGCATCAATTCTCATGCTATGAGAAATTCATCATCTTTTTCATTATCATATATCAATTTGTTAAAATCATTCTCAAATGTCTTGAAAACACAAAAAACGTGCAACAAGTATTTAATTGCATTTTGATAAATGTTCCAAATGCAAAGGCGATGATTAGCCTTTAGGAAGACATATTGTATGGCCTTTGCCATTATTGTACATTGATTTGTTAAGATTATTATTGGCTTTTCCCCATCCATTGCATTCAAGAATGATTAAAAATCCACTTAAATGATTTAATAGTCTCATAATACATTAATGCAACTCCAAATATTACTGTTTGGATATGGTAATTAACATCGACAAATGATTGTAAGCTCAATTGGTTCTAAAGGTGGTGTCAATGCAAGTTACATCCCAAAACAAATGATAGTCAAATACCATTCTTGTATTAATCCAAAAGGCATTTGTAATTTGATATATAGAATCAAGTTGTATGGAGTGGAAGGGTGAAGATTTCTCCATTCGCAACTTCTTAAAAAAAATTTAAAATAGCTCATGCATTACCCATTTTCATATTGTTATATCTCTTTGTACACATCTAATTATGATAACCAGCATGAGTGAATCCTAGATTCTCAACTCGTCCAAGCTAATTGGCTATATACTCCATAATGGCTTTTGGACAATGGTAGAGCCAGGAATTTTCTTTTGGGGGGTGGCAAGTTAAACAAGAAAATGAGGTGGGAGTAGAAGAGGTAGGTTATGTAGGAAAATGGAGTGGGAAGGTTTGACTCATTTTATTACATTCTTTACCTTACCTCTATTTAGTAACTATATATAAATATTATCTAACAAAAAAGTTTGGGGGCCAAGGACCCCCCCCCCCACCAACATACTTGGCACCGCCCATGCTTTTGGAGTTATACCTAATTTATTTGCAAGATTAGCTTAAGTAGTTTGGGCCACTATCATTCTCCTATATAACCTTAGCACGCATGTTTTGCTTGGAGTTATAACCTCATGATTGTGTTCATTTTCAAACTGAGTGATGCAATATTGACCACTTTCTTTCAAAGCAACAAGCATGTGTGCCTAACATCTAGTTATTACATTGTCATGATGATATTTCACATTATCTATTTGTCCATCTTTTTGATAATCCTGAGCAAAATAAAAAAAGTCATATTTCTTATTAATATATTTTATGTTGTATGTCCATTGCTCTTTTGAGTACTAAATCAAATTCTTGTGGCATATTCATTGTAAAATAGATATGCATCATCCAAATTATCAAAAAAATATTCCCAACTTTGGCTCTTCTATAGTGCTATCTATTCATCATCAACCCCTTCATCAAATACCAATTTACATGTAACATAGCAATCATTATTTGCAAGATTTTCATCTTCACTACAGAACCTAATACATTTTTCATCTTGTTTATCCATTTAAAAGTTTTTGCCAAGATACCACACATTCTTTTAAAATTAGGTACAGTTAAATATAAAAAGCACCCATGCATGTATGATTACAACGCTTTTAATATCAAGAAAAAAAAAACATATGAGGATTATGAAAAGCTATAGGGATCACCCCCATAATACACAAATACTTGGCATTAACAAACAAATGTTATCAGTCCTTTCATAATGCACCTAAAACATAACTACAAAATGCATTGTAAGAATTTAATAGTCCTAGAGGGTCATAGCCCCAGATGTAATTATATTCTAGCAATTGTAGGAGAGTGTTGGTTACTTAGTCTCTTGGGGAGTTTTATTTCTAAATTAATTAAAAATTTATGTTGTAGTGGTAGTGATCTTTAGGGCATGTTCGTTTGCTCTGAAGTCTGGCATCTGAAAGTGCAATAATTACATTAAGAGGTATATTGGTATTTGTGAACTTTTCTTTCTTCTTAACATTGAATGCAAAGAATGTTGTTCTGAACTCTGAATTCTGAATTCTAAAAATGATCAAATATCCATTTTGACCCCATATATTAGAGTTTTTATATGTCTTTCTAAGGGTATAATTGGAAAACAAAAAGTTGTATGATTACACTTTAAGAGATAATAGATAAGAGAAAACGAACAACCATTTTTCTCTTAAAGTTGAAAGATTTCTCTTAAGAGATAAGAGTTAAGAGGAAACGAACATGCCTTTAGTATGAATTTGCATCAACCCACCTTCTAATATCCAAAACCATGGGAGTTAAAAATTGAAATAATCTGGTTTTGATGTGAGCTAATTTGTCTCATGCCATAAGAATTAAGAAGTTTTGATGGTTTTAATTATGTTTGATGGGTGTTGGAGACTCTATTACACTAAGGTTTAAAACTTGTTAGAATTTTTGAAATTTCAACATTTCTTCCTTGTTCCAAGGATGATTGGAATGGAGGGTTGAAAAATACCTAGTTTTAGCCCATAATAGGTTATAAATAGGAGAAAATTTGGATGGTTATGTAAAATCTATACTACTAATAAAAGAGCGAATAGCTCTGCATTCTAGACTTTTCCTTAGACCTTTACTACCCTTCTTTGTCTAACTGCTTAGTTAGCAAATGAAGGGCAAATTGGTAACTATACATTTATCACTATAGGTGTGTTTCGCCGAGACCCTCTCTTCCACTACTTTGTTTCTCCCTCTTCGGTTTTTCTCTCGGAACTGAGAAAGAAGACATTATCTTCCACTTGTTCCGAATCTTTTGGTAGGTTTTTCTACTTCAAACCCTCAGTCTTTCGGTTGAGAATACCCTATCTCCCATGAACAATTCCATTATCACCCATTTGGTTTCTCTCTTAGAAATGAGAAAGAAGACCATATTTCCTACGTCTTTATACTCTGTTTCATTTGAGAATGAACTCTCCCACAAAGTCTCCCACCATTTCTCTCATGACTGGGGATTACAGTTATCTGGAAATCTATATAAATGGGGTTTGTGCTTCCCTTGGAGTATGCACAATTCCAATAGAGCAACCAGAGGACTCATTTGTGAAAGAGGAAAGCAACGGAGGACTGAATATTCGACTAGAAGAGCAATAGAAGGAAAGGAACTCAACCAAATAAAAAGAGGAATTTTTGAAGGTAATGTTTAATATTGAATTCCTTATTTTTCATTCTTGTTGTTGGTTCATGTAATTACAGCATTTACATGTGGAATAATGAAATTGCATCATTTAATTCGTGTAATTACAACATTTACATGTGGATAATGAAATTGTCAATGATGCAATTGCATCATTTATTTTTCTATTTAATATAAATTCATTATGGTTGAGAGAAATTGTCAGTGATGCATTTGCATCACTTAATTTTTCTATTTAATGAAATTGAAGTTATATTTCTATTTAATCAAGTTGAGAAATCAAGTTCCACTATCTGTTTAATGTACTGTAATTTATTTTAGGTGTTACAAAATTTAGATAGATTTTTTTAGGCTTAAATCAAATTTCATTCATTCAATTTGATTCGTTAAATTTTTTTAGGTGTTACACCATTTTGTTTCATTTTCTATTGTTTAATGTTATTCATTGTTTCTTTTATATGAAATTATAGTTAACGTATCAGTTTATTTTATCCATTTCACTTAGTACGCATATGACAACATTTAACGAGATGGGTATTTCCTTCAAAAATGCACTTAATGAGATGTGCTCCAAATTGCGCATGTCAACTCCCATATTCTTAGTTGAAGAACTCGGAAATGATTTCAAGGCCTCTATTCTAATCACAATCGAAGCCGACAATTGAAAATTCTATGGAAATGGATGTATTTTTAGAAAGGACGTGAATTATGAAGACTTACGGTTTTATATGCATAAATGCTCAAAATTAGAAATGTACATTGATGATTTGAAAACAAAGCTACTTAAACTAAAAAATAGCCTTAATGACACTAGATTTGTGAGAAATGAAGGTACTGATGATGAAGAACCGGAAGAAGATGATGAATATGTTGTAGGGGGAATTTAGTTTATCTTGTGTTTAGTTTATGGATGATGTTAGAGTGAATCATAGTAATAGTGCTTGTTTTATAGTCATGTTTTAAGTTTCATTGACAATGTTGTTTATGTTCTAGGACAGTTTATAATAGATTTCCATGTACAAGGTTGTTCTTATTATTATTATATAAAGTATAAATGTGGCCAAATCAGGAAGACCAAGAAGAATGTAACATTTACAACATCAGGTAGTAAATACGATGCAGAATTTTCATCATCAAGCTCTCAAACCTCAATGAAACCTCATCATATCAATCAAACTAATCTGTATCAGTTCCAATTGCAGAAACCCCTCTAAACAACAACTTTTATCCAGAAAATCCAGGCTTGATTTTTTCTTGATTTCTTCATAAAAGTTCCACAAAAATCATTTACTTAATACAATTCAAGCTCTAACAGAATGTAACATTCACTCTTCAAGCAGTCACACCAGCTAATGTAATCTAAACAGACTAGCGACATCAACAAGGCTCCATAAGAGTAGTAATCAGCATAAGCAAACCTACGGTTGTTCTGCTACCAAGTTGCAATAAAGAAATACAGAGTAAGAGGAGTAAAAAAAGTGGATATCATATATACTCCCCTTCATGCACTTATAATAAACAATGTAAATCCAATCCTTAACAACTTCTTCTTCTTCATTGTCCAACTCTGGTCTTTCCCTAGCCTGTTCATTACATCTATCTTGATTGTCCAAATGGCTTGTTTTTTTTAAGACTAAATCTGTGTTTTTTGTTATTGATAGATAATAGTGATGAATTTTATTAATATGAATAGGAGATAATATACACCAATAGCACCCACATGTAGATAAGTTTATCTTACCAAAAGAAGAAAAACCAACTAGAAATGAGCCTATAAAAGTTGTTCCCTATTTACCACTTGCTTGGCCAAAGAGTCATCTAAGCTATTTGCCGACCTGAGTACCCATTCATAGCTTATTATCATATTCATTGTTAATTGCTTAACAACACAACAAAGATAACGGATAATTAATAGAGAGCACATGGTTCTACACCATGTGAAAATAGAAAGATAACAGAGAATTAATGTTTGTTGTGCTGATTACCCAGGAACAGAGCTAATAAATGACAATCCGTATCTCTGAAAACACCTCCTACACCAAAAGATCCCAGGTTGTCATATCTAAACACATCAAAGTTGAACTTTATGTAGTTGTTTTTAGGCAGAAACCAAACTTGCTAAGTTCTAATCTTTAGATCTTTACTTTTTGAATTTTATAACAATAAAACCATTCTTTGTTTGAAGAAATGATGTTTTTGTTCAGTTTGAAATGCCATTAATTGCATTGCTCTCTTGTGCAGCAAGAGGGTTAGTGGTCGTTTGAGTTTTGTTATCAACAGCAATTGTGGCAATTTCATTTGGAGGAAGATAAGGTAAGCTCTTCAATGCCTCTCAAAGTCTCTTAAATTTTAGATACATTATATGCATTCAGGTAGCTTAATTAAAGGATATGAAACTTTTGGATTTACAGTTAACAGTCATAAGCAATTGATTAATCAACAAAAAACTACAATCAATCATTTCTCTCTCCCTCTATATATATAATTTAATTGTATAGTTCAATTATATATACAATTAAATTATACAGTTAACAGCCATATATATATATAATTTAATTATATTATAATATATTTTATGATTTTGAACATCATACATTTAATGTATGACCAGCTTGTCCAAAAATCATTAAGAGATAATAAAAATTACATGTAAAAATCAATCTAGCTTTCCTGCCACCAAAATATCAAATTGCCTTTGGGAGTAGTCTATGATACTAGGAATCCATGTCTGATACCATGTCTTGTTGTGTCCTCGTTGTATCTGTCTCATAGGGAGTACTACATTTTTAGTATCATAGTAGTATATGATACTAAAAATCCATGTCTAATACCATGTCTTGTTGTGTCCTGTGGCATTCCTGCATTTTTTGTATATTTTCAAAAGTCTTGTTTATGGTTTGGACAACAGCTCTTTATAAATGTCTGACAAAAGAAAATTTGACTATAAGGCGTATGGGGTTGAATGGTGAGACATGCATTCTTTGTAATGTGGTTGTGAGAACAATGATAATTTGCTTACTCGATGCAAGGTAGCTAATTTATTGTGGGAATTAGTGAAAAGCATTTTTTGTGGTTGTTGGCTACAAAGCAATAACTGTAGAAGATTTTATCAAAGACTGTAAGCTTAAGGGCCTAAGCAAGGAAGGCAAAATTGTTTGGAAGACTATCCTCTTTTTGATTAACCATCTATATCACTGAGGAATGCAGGTCAATAGTGGATGCACTATGTGCAAGCCACTGAAGGTTAGCATACTTTGTTTATTCTCTCTCTCTCAAAGACACATCAACCCTTTTACATCTTGGTTGATTCCAACAGTGCTTGAATCTAGAAATTTCTTTCAGAAATCCCTTCAAAATGTTTGGTTGTTTTGCTAATAAGCCTTATTTAAAATCCATTTATAGTTATCCCTAAATCTTGATTCTTGAGATTACAATAATGTTATGTGCATTCTAATTTCCTTTTGAAGTTTGGCTTTATATTCGTTCTATGTGGTTTAAAATTACGAAGGAATTGTTTGACTACTTTTTTGTTATTGTTAACTCCACCTCTCACTTACCAGTAAAAGTTTTTCATTTGATTACTTTTCTTTTAACATGATCACACCATATGAAATTTTGGGTTTTCTCTTTGGCATTTCCTTTCAGATTCCTTAAGGTTCATGAACATGTTTGCTTAGTTTTCCTTGGCTTGCATTTCTTATGGTGCATGGCAGCTCTAGGTTTAATAGAATTTGGAGTTCTTGTCAAATTTACTTTGAAATATCATTGGGTCGTTGAATTGTGTTCTTGTGTGGGAGTAACAAAGAGGGTGTACAAAGAAAACAAACAGGGATCAGACCCCTGAAAATTACACAGGAGGGATCTTATCACAGTACAACACTTCTAAAAGAGCACCTAATTTTGCTAACCCATCTACAAGAGCATTAAGATCCCTTGGAATCTAACACAAGTGTACGTTTGTAGCTGCCAATAGATCCCTTGCCTCTGCCTCTTCTATCTTGTTTCAAAAGAAATTTTTAAAAGCTTCTTTTTTCAACTTGACAATGTGTTCATTTCTAATTAACTGTAAGCGACAATTTAAATCATGCTTTATTTAATTACCATCAGCTTAAAGCAAAACTAAGGGGTTATTTTTTATTACTACTTGATGCATTTTATATGAAATTTTATTGTTTGGTATCATTTATTTTAGAAATGCTTTTATATGCATTTGGGATGACATTCCTTTCAGCAATAACCATGGAATTTAATACATTTTTTTTATAATTAGTAAAAAATGTGATTAATTAATAGTCAATATTACAGATTTTATTTTTTTAGATATGATTTTTATATATCTTTTTTTCCTAATAAATCCATATTTTATCAAGTACATTGTTCATCAACTAGTTTACCCAACCAAGTTTGAAGACCTATTGACAAGGTTATTACCATCTTGTTTGAAGGGTTCATCATATTAGGGTTCATTGCTTTGGAGCATTAATTATTTCACTATTTATTGTCTTTTCTTCTTTTTTGCATTTCTTCGTTAACTTTTTTTCCTTTTTAATGTGAATTTTATTGTTTTACTCGGTACATTAGAATTCATTAAAGTAATTTTGGTAATGTTGGTAATCTAATAAGACTTCTAAGTAGCTTGTTGATGATCTACACAAAAAAACTGTAGCTTATTGATGACACTAACATTGTAAGAGTATGGTTATGGCTTTGTTTAACTTTTATTTGGTTATTTTCATTAAAACAAAGAAGTTGATTGGACCTGATTTCCCTTAAAGAAAATGAAAAATAAATTAAGATTTCCACTCAAACAATTTGTAATGTTAAGAAAAAACAAAAGAAACACAAAATAAATATAACATAAGAAATGATATATCAGATCTAAGGCAAAATCTGTGGGGGAAGTCATTAATATAACTGTTGACAAAGTGAGTCCTGGGCCTCAATCTCTAAATATCCTCCTTGACCATCCCATTGCGATCTTTGTTTCATGCTGACCTTGTACTAATATGATGTATGTTGTTTGTGTTGGGGGCTCTTTAGTTTAGATCTCCTGTAGTGATGTGTTATACCATTACATCTTATCATCAATAAAAATTTACCTTATCTTTCTCAAGAAAAAATGGGAAGATTTTGGAGATTCCTTTCAGTGGAAGGTCCACTTCTTGAATTTTGTGAATATTCCCAATACCCTGCAACTAAAACTAAACTTTGATGGCCCTATGATGGTTACACTCTTCTATTGGGATAGTGAAACTAAACTTTGATGGCTACCCATTGGGCAATTTGAGACAACAGTCTGGTCTAGTATTGGGGGAGTGTTTAGAAACCATGAGGGTAAGATCTTATATGTTATTTTAGTCCCATGGGTTGGGGAACTCCATCAGAGCTGAACTTTTTGTCCATACTGCTAGGACGTAAAATGTCTAGAGATTTCAGCTTTAATAGGGTGTAAATAGAAGGGGATTCGTAGGTCATTTATAGGCTATATGCAAGGAAATTTAGTAGGTCCATGGAAATATTGGCAGCAATTAAGCGAAGCTGGATTTGATAAAAAAAATAAAAATAAAATTAAGAGAAGATGGATCCCTTGTAGGGTCAGAAGTGCAAAAGGGTAGGGTAGTACTTGAACTTAGCAATGCTATTTAGAGGGGAGAAGGTGTATGGGGAGGAAAATTATATGTAATTAGAGTTCAGAGTTTGTTTTTTATATAAATACACAACAACATGTAATTTATTATAGTTAATAAAGTTTTCAGTTACCTATAAAAATATAAAAGCATATGAAGAATTTTGAAAAATAAAGGCTACAACCTTCATGCTAATAACATGACACTCTAACCAATTAAATCAGAAATTTATTAATTTAAACACCCTTACACATCTGCAATTTGCTTATCTTTTTGTATATTTTGATATTAACTTCAATGGCTTCTTTGCGATGCTTGGGCTATCTTTTGTGTGCATGTTGTCCAAAGCTTTCATATATCTAGTACTTCTTGAACTTGATTTTTTCCTTTGTTATTTTTTACTCTTATCATGCTTTATGAGTTTTGTCATTTCTGCAGTTCTAGGTAATGCAGAATTTTTTGCATGTAATGCATGCATGTCTATATTTACAATATACAATTTTTTTCTTACTTTGAAATACTAAATACCTTTTTAAAGATATATAGTATATTTTCATTGGGTGTTAGTTATAAAATGGGAGATTGTAGCAGATTGCCATTTTGAAGAGAGGTGCCTAGCATGTACAAAGAAGGAACCGTGAATTTTTTTGCCCCTTAGACAAGACATCAATCTTCCATCATTTTAGGGCAGCAGCCACTCACCTCGAATAGTTTCCAGATTTATACCAAATCTCAAAGAAGAATTTGAATTGCAGCAATAAGTGACTGATTCTATATGCTCATCACAGAAAACATAGTTTGCAGAGTCTAGCACCACACCTTCCTTAGAAAGTTATCCCATGTTAAAATTCTATTCAGCAAGGCAATCCAAACAAAAAAATATGATCCTTGGACCTGCTGATATAGTTGTAAAAAAATGATTTTACTATGAAATTTCCACAAGTCTTCCATTCCCAACCTTTCTATCACTTCCCTCATTATCTCTACAGGGAAGCATTCCTAAACAACTTGGATGTTCACAACTGTTAAGGAATTTAGATTTGTCCATCACTAATATGACATGTGAAATTCCTTTAGAGTTTCAGAACCTTAACTGTTTGTAAGATCTACAACGCATTGACAATAAGCTTGAAGGTACCAATCCTCCTCTTATTGGGGCCAATACCAATGTCATTGTCCTTGACATGTTTGAAAACAAACTTTTAGTCAACATACTAGCAAATCTTTGTAAATTTCATAACTTATTGTTCCTGAGCATTGGGTCAAATATGTTGTCTGCTAACATTCCGTATGGGCTAAAAACATGCAAGTATTTTGTACAACTAATGTTGGGAGATAATAACCAACTAACAGGAAGCCTTCCTATTGAATTATCAATACTTCAGAATCATTCTGCACTGGAGTTGTATCAAACCCAATTTTCAGTACACAGAAATGATTTATTAATAAGAAGAAAGCATGGTTACAACTAGAGGTTGTGAAAAAAAATGAACACAGCCTTAGAAAAGCTGATCGAACCCAATAATTACAATTGAGCCCAATATAGATGAGTACTTTGCACCCCTTGCTTTGCTAGACCATCTGCTAACCTGTTGGCAGTTCTCCTCACCCATTTAACTTGGATTGTCATGTCCTTTGATAGACATTTAAATCGCTTGAATTCATTCCTCAAATGCCATGACACCCCTCCCCCTTTTTCAACCATTTCATTACAGTTTCTGAGTCTCCCTCAATGATCGGTCTATCAATACCCAACTCTTTTGCCTTCTCCACTCCATATACTGCAGCCAATAGTTCTGATCTTGCCACATCACCTTGTTTAGCAGGTCCCGAGTATAAAGCTATGATGTTTCCTTCTTCATCCCTAATGACCTCGTATGCCTGAGGGGCCCAGATTACCCAAACAATTCCCATCAAAATTCAGTTTCTTCCAGCCACCTATCGGGGGTGACCACTTCTCAGTAGATTTTTGTCTTCTAGATGACGAGGCAGCGATTACACCCCATGCCCTGAAAAAGTCTTCAATCTTAAAATCTAAAATCAGTTTCAGACCCATAGAGGAGAGTTAATGGTCCCAAATTTCTACAGAAATAGGCCAATGAGTAAATAGCTGGTTGTTGTCCTTTTCTTCTTGGCCAAACAACACACACATCATATATTGCATTTGGATTCCTCGCCTGGTTAGGTTCTTTTTAGAGGGACTTCTATCTAGCACCACACCCCAAACCAAGGCATTGACTTTAGAGGGATTTATATCTAGCACCAGTCTGGGGGATCAGATTGCAATACATTTGGCTTCTTTTTACCTCTCAATTTGCCAACCTATTAGCAATATTTTTAACTGATCTTGGAGCCTATCTGTATGTTTTTCTTATCCCCATTGCTAGCTTTGTGATTTCTCTTAATATGTGTCTATGCGGGTTCTGCTTCATTACTTAGCCATCATATAATGAAATGAGAGTCTCTTTCCACCAAAATTTCTTTTGTAGTACATTGATTTGCCAACTACAATCCATGTACAACAGCCAATGTTTTAGCCTGAGGAGAATCTCTATAACCAATCGGCCATCAGTGTGGGTCCAGGAAAATTCCCTTACCGAATAGGACCACATAAACTCAACATAATGGTGTCAGTGTGATCTCTGAGCACTCCTTCCATCCGAAGACTTAGGGTTACCTAGAAAACTACTGTTGAAGTTAAGCTTGGTCTTCCCAGCTTCTGGTGCAGTCTACTCTTGAATCATTGCAGTTCATTGTTTAGCTAAACCAGCCAATTCTTGCCAGTAATTAGAATAGTCTCTATAGAGACAACTTTGAATGTTTACCAAGGCCTACAACGAGGTACTCTGATTGTAATTAGATCAATTGTGTTTCTGATGTCATATGATATCATTGAAGATTCAATTATCTCTCTTGTACCAAAAGCTTTGTAGAATTGTTGCCCTTGTACACTTCCACATGACCAATTTTGAAGATTGACTGCATCATTCCTCTATATATCATCAAAATAATGTATCTCTTCTATTGAATAGATGTAGCTAACCAATTCAGAACCTTTGTTATACTATGTTCATCTTTGTTATTGCTAATTTATTTGAGCATTTATAAATTAGGCTTTCTATTTCTTCTTTTTTACTGAATGTTTATTTATTTTTTAGGGATCTGCAACACAAAAACGATTTATTAATAAGAAGAAAGCATGGTTACAACTAGAGGTTGTGAAAAAAAATGAACACGGCCTTAGAAAAGCTGATCCAACCCAATAATTACAATTGAGCCCAATATAGATGAGTACTTTGTACTCCTTGCTTTGCTAGACCATCTGCTAAGTTGTTGGCAGTTCTCCTCACCCATTTAACTTGGATTGTCATGTCCTTTGATAGTCATTTGAATCGCTTGAATTCATTCCTCAAATGCCATGACACCCCTCAATGATTGGTCTATCAATATCCAACTCTTTTGCCTTCTCGACTCCATATACTGCAGCTAATTGTTTTGATCTTGCCACATCACCTTGTTCAGCAGGTCCTGAGTATAAAGCTATGATGTTTCCTTCTTCATCCCTAATGACCCAATAAACCTTATCCGCATTCATTTTGGTGAAATAAACCCAATAAACCTTATCCCATTCCTTTCTTTATTCTTCCCCTTGATTCTTCCAACCGCAATGTCTCTGTAATGGTCCAAAAGTGCATCGACTTATTCCCCTTCCTTTGATTGTTCCAATCTCAACGTCTTTCAAGTGGTACAAAAATGCACCAGTGCGTTCTTAAAGGACTCAACACTCTAATTAATCAAAAATAATTTTTTCTACGTGTGTATTGAAATTTTTTCTACAATTTATTTTTAATCTTTTCATACTTTAATCATGATCATGACAACATCCCACGTGCAACGCACATGCCCTCTTACTAGTACAATTAAAAGAAGGGACAAGATAAATGGGATATGAGAAAATTTAGAGAAAGCAATATAGATATGGTGAGAGAAAGAAAAAAGAAAAATTAGAGAAAACACTCATAAAAAGGCAAAATCGAATTGTAAATCATGTATTCAATAATATAATTTCACATTCTTGCAAATTTTCATAAATTACTTTCCTGATGACCGTGGTTAGAACTAGGGTTGTTCACAAATAAATTCAAACCGACCAACTCGGCCTGACCCAACCTGATTTGACCTGTTTTTCTTCACCACTAGTCGGTTTCTGGTTGGAAAGATGGATAAACTGATAATTCGGTTCGGTTTGTGAAAACCGAAACTGAACTAAACCGAACCAAGTTATCTATAAATCTGAAATATATATTTCGGAAATGTATAAATTTAAACCAAAACCGACCCAAACCGACCAGGTTGGTTTTGCTTAATAGAGGGTCGGTTTCGATTTAATCTTAAACGAAAATTGAAGAATGATTATCGCCAGTTGACTCCATGCCATCGTAGCTCAGTTGTGTAATGAAATTGCCGACGATCTCTTGCTCTATGGCTAGGGATCTGATGAAAAATGGTGGGAAGGGGAATTCGAATGAGTGAGAGTAAAAAAAGATAGTTTTAGTTGGTTTTGTCTTTTTCTAACCGGGTGAGTCGAATTCACCCACTTAACGAGAGGATAACATTAACAAGAGCTATAGATTTGAATAGGGCGATGTGCACACCTCTTATTAAGGTCTTGTTCATTTTTCAAAATGTCACTTACCCAAGTAAATGTTTCTCTCCCCCCCCCC